CTCTTTTATGACTCGTGGACTTCAACTCCCAGAATTCCTGCTCAGGAATTCTGGGAGTTGAAGTCCACGAGTTATAAAAGAGCCAAGGTTGCCTACCCCTGGTATAGGGTTTCCAGTCTGAGCAGGGAGTTGGACTAGAAGACCTCCAAGATCCCTTCCAACTCTGCTCTTCTAAATTCTATACTCTGGTCTTCCCTTCTACTCCGCTGCTCACGGATTCAGCAACCTGAAATAGATGCTTGAGATATGTTAGCAGAATCACCACTAAGGTCTTCCTGGAAGAGCCATTAAAGGGATGGGACTCTCCCGGGGGCAGGGGGGGGGGGACACAAGAATGACTGACAGGCTGTCCACCAGCCCTGTCAGCTGTAATGGCCTGGAAACAGAAGAAGACCCACCAAGATGACAGTCAGGGTATCTCCAGCGGCCTAAGATTAAAATCCGACCACCCAGCTTGCTAGCATTCGTCTGACGTTGACTTTCTGCAGAATTCCAGCATCCCGTTTCTTCACTTTCCTCGTTTCTTCTCACGGTGCTTCAAACTTTTTTGGGGTGTGTGTGTATGTGTATGTGTAGTTTCTTGTTTCAAAATATCGGGGTGGTCCCCTCACCCCAATTCGGAACTAACTGCATTCTTCCATTTGAACGCACCCGGCCAAAGTTGGCTCTTAAACCAGACATCCCTTGATGGCATCCGTGGCTGTGGACTTTTCAGCTTGTGTGAACTTTGATGGCAGGAACTGGGTAGCCTGGAGAAAAGAAGGACTAAGTGGGGGACACGATAGCTGCATTCCAATATTTGAGGGGTGCCCCAAGGAGGAGGGGGTCAACTTACTTTCCAAAACACCAGAAGTCAAGACAAGAAAGAATGGATGGGAACTAATCAAGGAGAGAAGCAACTTCGAATTCCTAATAGTGAGGACAATCAGCCCAGTGGAACGACTTGCCACCAGAAGTTGTGGGTGCTCCATCCCTGGAGGTTTTTAAGAAGAGACTGGACAGCCACCTGTCTGACATGATCTAGGCCTAGGTCTCCTGCTTGAGCAGGGGACTGGACTAGAAGACCTCCAAAGGTCCCTTCCTGCTCTATTCTATACTTTCGTCAGGCTGAATGGCAGCAGGGGAACACTTTTTTCAGCATTCAGGCAAAATGGCGCTGAATATCCTGGATATCCGAGCGGAAAAAGGCTTTGTTACCGGTTGTTTTCTGCGGATCAAGTTTTGTTGAGGCACAATATTTATATCTAACACTTTATTAAAGGCAAACATTCCCCTGAGGTAATATCATACCAGGAAAAGGCCTCTTAGCTTTTCACCATAGTGTTCCCTTTGCTTTTTTTTTTATTCTACCAGGTTTTTTTAAAAAAATAAAAATAAAATAATATTCTTTCCCATTAGCTTCTGATACGCCCATAATTATCTTCGCAAAGGCTAATCCTTCTGCCAGGTAGGGAAACCGTGGCACAGGAGTCTTCAAATAATCATTATTTATAGTAGCTACCTCTTTCCAACCATGAGCTGTGGTTATTTATAAATTGTGGAATGAAAAGCTGGATTGCTGCTTTCTCAAGTATAATCCATTAAGACGCTTCTAGGTTTGTGTCTGATCGGACCGGGGTAATTATGCTCTGGAGTGTTGAGTGACAACTAAGCAGGGGTTTTTTTGAAATACACACACACACATGCACACATAGAAACCAGGTAGATTCCCCACTAGACACTATTAGCAGCAAAATCTGAATTAAGAGGAGGGACTTGTTGGGGAACAGTTATTGAAGGGAGCGCAAGAGATATTTCAAATTAAATTAAGAATGGGCATATTTACCCAACTTTTCTGCCTTGAGAAGCAGAAGTTGGATTATGAAGTTGAAGGAGACAAAGACTACGGATGCTTTTCAACTTGGGTGTCGGGGAGATGCCTGAGGAGACATGGACACCCAAGGAAGCACACAAATGGATCCTGGAACAAATCAACTCGGGTTTTATCTCCACAGCAGAAAAGGCCAGGCTTGGCTTATTGTACCAGGGACACACGGTGTGAAGATGTGTCTCCTTGGAGAAGTTTATAACGCTGGAAACAGTGAAAGGAAAGAGAAGAGGACGGCCAGCAGCAAGCTGGATGGGCTCAGTTATACCAGTGATCAGGTTATGGATAGATCATGGTGAAGAAAATCAATCAGCGTAGCCTGTAAGAGTTGAACCAATCTGAGGGCACATATTCAACCTCCACAAAAGAAGATCAAAAGTCCATTCCAACTTTTCCCCCCCCCCCATCCTGAAGGAGAAAGTGTGAAGACAACTTGGTGCAGGAAATGTTCTCCCAAAATTTTGGCAAAGTCGCTAACTTGAGTTTAGACACACACACACACACACACACACACACACACACCTTGGATGATGTTGTTCTAGGCCAGTGGTTCTCAACCTGTGGGTCGGGACCCCATTTGGGGTCGAATGACCATTTCACGGGGGTCGCCAAACCATGCTGTCCGCCATTTTTTTCCCTTTTCCCTAGCTGTCCTACTCCCTCTTATTGGTGGCCACACCCACTTGGGGGTCACCACAACATGGGGAACTGTATTATGGGGTCACGGCATTAGAAAGGTTGAGAACCACTGTTCTAGGCCCAACAGAAAGGCATACTATTATCACTACTGTAGTAAAAAATATTTGTAAAGGGCCCAGTTGGGTACCACTTTTGTTTAACAGGGAAGAACTTGGTTAGCACTTGGATAAAGAAGCAAATTGCAAACACTTCTATGTTAGAGAAAGAGAGAGGGAGAGAGAGAGAGACAGAGGCAGAGAGATAGACAGACATGATTGATAGATGATAGATAGATGATAGATAGATAGATAGATAGATAGATAGATAGATAGATAGATAGATAGATAGATAGATAGATAGATAGATATGGATGGAAAGAAAGGAAGAAAGAAAGAAAACCGAAGGATAAAAATGCATACATTTGTAGTACTTACAAGCCAGTTTGAGCTATTAGTTAACTGGGTGGCCCTATAAACTAAATAAACTGATCCCTAAAGAGAAACCAAACGTATGTACTTCTCAAGCTGATACACAATGGGAGAAACCTAAAACCTGTGCTTCATTTCAAAAGCATCTCCTGCACATCATCTCGTGTTTTTTGTGCAAGTGTTCTTTGCAGACCTGCAAGGCCACTGCAGGAAGCGTGACCCGCAAAGTTTTCTAAAGCCTCTGATTTCCGAGTGGAAATCTTTGAATTTCATTGCGTGGCTGATGCACCGATTTTTATTTTTTTTATTTTTTCACGCCTGCTAGTTTGAAGTTTGCTGGCTCAGCAATGCTCCCATCGTGGTTCCCTCTTGGCCTTTCTCTCACGGTGCAAGCTTCACTCGAGACACCAACACTTCTGAGAGTGCCTCCCACACACCTAAACACATCCCAGTTGCAAAACTGCAAGCAAAGCACTTTGCGGAAGGTGCAGCCTGGGGTAAAAACCTCAAGAGCCCAGAAAGAAAGCATCATCCTTCCATGCGTGAATTAATCGAACCACACAGCCTTGAATAATTCTCCTGGCTTCACCGAAAAAGCAAGGCTGAAACATTTGCAAATTTGCAGACAGGCAGCTGCCCTCTTTAGAGGTTGGACACCCCCCCCCCAGCCCACCCACCCACCCACACCTTTCCTGAAAAAAAAATATTTCCCCTCCTTCCTTTATGGACCGGCATAAATCTTTTAAATTATAAATCGATAAATAGTTAATTCCACAATAAGAATCCTCTACATATTTCATGAGTTGTATGCAGAAGCTGCATTTTGGTTAGCTAATGGCACGAGGGTGGGGGGCGGTTGGGGGGGTGGGTGAGAAGAAAAAAAAATGGGGTGGGTGGGAGAAAAACTTTGGGTCCAAACTGAAAAATGATGGGTTTTGATCTCAAGACTGTCGAAAGGAAAAACGCAAAGGGATTTTTAGAAAAAAAAGAGTGAAGGAGAGAAGCGACTTCATAGATGATGATGATGATGATGCTTGATGATGATAACAACAACAACAATAATAATAATGTTGGAAGGGACCTTGGAGGACATCTAGTCCAACCCCCTGCTCAGGCAGGAAACCCTATACCATTTCGGACAAATGGCTGTCCAGTCTCTTCTTAAAAGCTTCCAGTATCGGAGCATTCATAGCTTCTGGAGGCAGGCTGTTCCACTGGTTAATTGTTCTCACTGTCAGGAAATTTCTCCTTTGTTCTAGGTTGCTTCTCTCCTTGATTAGAGAAGCAACCTGGAATTAAGGAGAAATTTCCTGACAATGAGAACAATTAATCAGTGGAACGACTTGCCTCCAGAAATTGTGCATGCTCCATCACTGGAAGGTTTTTAAGCAGAGATTGGCCAGCCATTTGTCTGAAATGGTATAGGGCTTCCTGCCTAAGCAGGGGGTTGGACTAGATGACCTCCAAGGTCCCTTCCAACTCTGGTATCATGTTATTCTTGTTTTGTAGTTAAATTATTTCTAGCTAGCCCACCACATGCAGCTGTCATTTCTGTCCCTTCTTTCTATGGGCAGGATGTTCCTGGTTACCAGGATCAGCCTAAGTATCCTCCCTTGTTTTCCCTGGCTTTTGAAAGCAGGCTAGAATTAGATTAACATTCAGTCCTCACCTCTTCCTGGTCTCCTGTGTGAGCTCAGGGCCATCGCGCACCCCCTCCCTCCCTCCTTCCCCCCTGCTAGCCATCCGATGACAGATATTGTAACGATGACAGTAGATTAATATCTCTTTAATCAGCCCAAATGAGCATGACACGAGGGTGACAGTTCAATTTCCCGATAACAGATTGTGGCTATCAAAAAGGCAGGCCTTTCAGCCGTCCCGGTGATGGGGTGTGTGTGTTTGTGTGTGTGTTTTTTATGATGATGATGGTGATCATTACGACGCTTGGCAGAGATAATAGGGCACTCGGAGGGACCGACAAACACTTATTAAATAAATCTTGTAACACATCGGCGTTACTCACCCACCTGTCCAGGCGGCTCGGCGAATTAAATGCTGGGTTGACAAAACGAAGCTGTTGCCGATTGTCTCTCGGCTGGAGGAAGCGGGCGCTGGACGTTCGAAGCTTGGAAAGGAAGCCGAAAAGGACCAGAAGCTGCCCCTCTCCTCTCTGAAAATAAAAACATGTAGTCCTCGAATTACAACAGTTCATTTAGTGACGGTTCAAACAACATCATTTGGAAAAAGCCCCTTAGGGCCATTTTTCATACTTGACAACCGTGGCAGCATCCTCACGGTGACAGTGAATCAGAATCAGAATAGAGCTGGAAGGGACCTTAGAGGTCTTCTAGTCCAGCCCCCTGCTCAAGCAGGAGACCCTAAACCATTTCAATCAATCAATTAATCAATCAATCAGAATAGAGCTGGAAGGGACCTTGAAGGTCGTCTAGCCCAACCCCCCCCCCCGCTTAAGCAGGAGACCCTAGACCATTTCAGACAGGGGGCTGTCCAGTCTCTTCTTAAAAGCCTCCAGTGATGGATCTCCCACAACTTCTGGTGGCAAGCTGTTCCACTGGTTAAGTGTCCTCACCATTAGGAAGTTTCTCCTTAATTCCAGGTTGCGTCTCTCCTTGATTAGCTTCCATCCATTGTTTCTTGTGCTGCCTTCAGGTGACCCCCCTCCTCTTCTTTGGGGGAGCCCCTCAAATGCTGGCAGATTGCTATCACATCCCCCTCGGTCCTTCTTTTTTTTTAATATTCTCCAAAATACTTCATTCTCTGGGACTGCTGACTTTCTACAAAAAAACCCACCATCTTAGCTCTTCTGCTCCATATATGCTTCTATCGGGGCTTCCTTATAAAAAAGATGGGTTTAATTTTTTTGAGAAGGGGCTCCATTCTCAGCTGCTGGTCTCTTGGTAGAGCCCGGACCGTCTCTGGCCCCCATTTATTTTAGCTATGGGGGGGGGGGGAGAAAAGAGGCGAAGGCCCTTCGCTTCATGGTGTGGGCTGCTCGGCCGCCATTTTGAGCGTCCATCTTTCCAGTTTCGGCCAGGTCCAGCTGGGCTCTGCAGCTGCACAAAATGGCGGGAGAAATCTTTTCCTGTGGTCATTCTTGCAGCCAGGAGCTGAGGGAGAAGAGGGAGGGGAAAAAAAAAAGCCCTGTCAGGATAACATTCAGTTGTTTCTATTTGTTGTTGTTGTTGTTGTTGTTGTTGTTGTCTTGGCAGAAATCAATCCTGCCTCAGTGACCACTCTTCAGACTGTGGACTACACTTCCCAGCATGCCACAGTGAACTTCATTTCCTCAGTCTCGGGGCTTCTCTTTCCAGAATGCCTCAGTGGACTTTCCAAGATGCCTCAGTCTCTCGGCTTCTCTTCCCAGAATGCCTCAGTGAATAGTCCTTCCCAGGATGCCTCAGCCTCTGAGCTTCTCTTCCCAGAATGCCTCACTCTCTAGGTTTCCCTTCCCAGTATGCCTCAGTGGACTTTCCTTCCCAGAATGCCTCACTCTCTGGGCTTTCCTTCCCAGAATGCCCCTGGCCATTGGCTTCTCTTCCCAGGGATCCCACTGATTGCTTCCTTTTTGCTGAAACAATATTTGGAGCAGATCCCGCTCTCCCAATTTCGCCAGGGTTGAAAATCCTTTTATTTCCCTACTACCCCCTCCGTAACACACTTGCTGTCACTGAACCAAATCCTATCTTATTATTCCAACTGACTCGTATTTATGACGGTCACAGTGTCCCGGAGCTCATGTGTTTTCCTTCTGCCAAGCAAAGTCAGTGGGGAACTTTTTTTTCCCCATTTTTATTTTATTTTTTAAAAAACGCCTTGTCAGCTCGGTTTGTCCACAAAACTCTCTACACAACTCCGTGCCTTCTCTGGCTGAAACAAGCCATTACATTGGGTGATTTGTTCTCCTTTATTCCCACTCTTATCTTCCGTCTCCAGCCCACGGTGGTGTGTGTTAAATATGCACATACATTCAGAAGCAGGCTCTAACCCATCCAGAAGACCCGATTTATTATTTAGAACGACACGATTTCCCCCTTTCTGGCTTAGTTTAAAAAGAAAAAAGCTTACCCTTTTATTTGCAGGGGTTTTTTTCCCCCTTCCTGGCCAAGCCATTTCCATTAGCTTTCTCGTTAAAGTTTTACAAAGGTGTTTTTAGTTGTGATTTTCAAAAGTAGTGTTAAATCAGGTGGCAGGAGAGAGAAAAAAAAAAAAAGGCTGCTCTGGGCACCAGACCCGGCTACCTGTTGCATCGAAAGCCGAAACGTGTTTATTAAACTGCTCCTGAGGCTTATAAAGCTGCATCAGACCGTTTCAAATTCAGCCCAGCCAAACCCCAGATTTCTCTCCTGCTGCTTCCCAAAATTTCAAGACTGCTGCCAGAAACTGCATGCAAAATATCTCTTCTTCCCAGTGTATATATGGGCAGTCCTCAACTTACGACTGATTACTTAGCAATGGGGGGTACTTATGACCCAGATTCATAGTTCTGACGGTCACCCCCCTCTGCAATCATCTGCAGACAGGTGAAAAAAAATCATTTTAGATTTTAGTTCAGTTGACCCCCCCACTGAAACGAAACCAAGGAAGGTTTCCTCTTGGCCACGCCCACTCATTGATCCAAGACTCTGCCTACATCATCATCATCATCAAGTTGGAAGGGACCTTGGAAGTCATCTAGTCCAACCCCCTGCTCAGGCAGGAAACCCCACATCATTTCAGACAAATGGCTGTCCAGTTCTCTTCTTAAAAGCTTCCCATGTTGGAGCATTCACGGCTTCTGGAGGCAGGTTGTTCCACTGATTAATTGTTCTCACTGTCAGGAAATTTCTCCTTAGTTCTAAGGTGGCTTCTCTCTTTGGTGTGTACTTTTTGGAAGTCAACCTCCCCCCCCCCAATATGCTGGAAACCATTTGCAGATGGGCCGCTTATTCCCATCATCTCTGCACCCTGTTTTTGCTTCGCTGCAAAAATGAAATTATGCAGATGAATTTTTCCTAAGGACTAGGGGTTAACTAAGTTAACTCAAAGTATGCCTTCTTCCCTCCGTGTCCTTGCAACGAGGAACAGGAGGGGTAACGTGACACCCTCCGTGTTCCCGTCTGCGAAGGCTTGGGTCCCACTTCTCTAAACAAAGTCTAAACATGTTATGGTTGACTTCCATCCATTAGATGGTGACTTCCAAGGTCTGGTATATCTCACATTCGACAAGAATTTCTGGCAGGGCCGAGAGCTTGTTTGCTTCAAAGCTTCTGAAGATTCAGCTGGACTTGCACTTTAATCAACCTTGCGAGGAAAGGATTGTTGTCAGGTCACTCCAAGAACTGAACTGAGATGGCCCAAGAATTTCTTCTAAAGAGGAATCAGGTTTAGAGAGGCTTTCCTATAGAAAAGGCGAGAGGGAATGATAGCCAGATGTGCTGAAATCTCTGGACATGCCTAGTGTTGCTGCTGGAGGGTCAGAGCCAAAAATACAGAATAACAAAGTTGGAAGGGACCTTAGAGGTCTTCTAGTCCAACTCCCTGCTCAACCAGGAGACCCTATACCCAATGGTTGTCCAATCATTTCTTAAAAACCTCCAGTGATGGAGCACCCATAACTTCTGGAGGGAAGTTTGATAGTTCTCACTGTCAGGAAATGTCCGTATTTCCAGGTTGATTCCCTCTTTGGTGAGTTTCCATCCGTTACTTCTTGTCCTGCTGTCAGGTACTTTGGAGAAGAGGTGGACCCCCCCCCTCTTCTTTGGGGCAGCCCCTCAAATATTGGAAGACTGCTATTAGGTCACTCTTACTCCTTCTCGCTAGTTGGAGGAACTGACTCAGAATAAGTCAGGTTCAATCCAAGGATCCAAGAGAATACCGACGGTATTCCGAGTAATTTTTCCAAAAGTCTTGTATTCAAAATATTTCTAAAGATGTTTTTGGGGATAGTATAGGAAGACGCCCAAGTGAGGATTAGAAAAGGACCCCGAGATTTCTCCTTAAGTTTGCTAGAAAGGGACTTTGGAATCCAAGTCGGCAGATCCACTGGAGAAACATCTGAAGAAGATTCCCAAGGTAAGAGCAGAAAACAAATGTTAGGAATAATAAACCCCGGCATTCTATGTTGGGAACTGCCTGTTGACACAATGCTGTAGGTTTTTTTTTCCCCTTTCATCTTAAATATTGGTACTGGAGCAGTTATTTTACATCCTAGCAAGCAGGTGGCTTGCTCTTCTCAAAGCGAAAAGAGAGCAAGTACAAAAAAAATTGGAGGAAGCTATTTTGACCCAGTTCTGCACATGACACCCGTATTTTCCATGCAACCAGAGTTAGCTTGGTCTCCTTAATTTCCTTTTAGCATAAAAACACTGCCTTTACAACGAATAGGTACAACTGAAATAAATTATTATTTTAATATGTTTTTTTTTTTTAAAAAAAAAAGGAAGGTAAGTTGGCTGTGGAGCTGGCAGTGAAGGGCTGTTGCGTTTGGCACACATTGGATTTTAATAAAGTGAAATGTAGTGTGAAGGCAACATTTAATTAAGGCCTGTCAGAATTCACTTTAATATATATTTCCCCCCCCAAAGTTGCAGACTTCCTCCTTGCCATGTTTCCCCCATTCCTCTTTTTTCTTTCTCTAAACCCCATTTTGCATCCCACCGTCAAAACAGATGTGGTATTTAATCCACCATGAAGTGTTCAGAACGATTTAGCTTCATAGGAGAGAGGGGCAAAAATATGTGTATGCTAAACATGCCCATTAGGGAAAGCTAAGGTGCCATTATTTGATTATTGATAATAATAAGATTTAGCTGTACCTGGCGGAGAATAAACCAGTGCAGGAAAGAAGCTAAAAACAAAACTGGATGCTTTCTTGAAGCCCCTAATACAGCGCCCTCAATTTGCGGCTATCTGATCAAAGTTACAACAGCCCTGATTTGGAACGGTCGCTAAATGAACTGGTGTAAGTTGAGGACTATCTGTAGACTAGACATAAAAAGCACCGTTGAGACAACCTGTGGGCTAGATGGAACTGATTTTATTTTTAATTTCAATTTTATTTTATTTTTAATTGCAAACTCTTCTGAGGCCCCGGGAGCGACAGGAAGTGTGCCTTTATAAATGTGTCTGGATACACAGCTACCTAGATCTTAGGAAGTCCTCAGACTAAGC